CAGAGCCTTGCCAAGTCTCCCCAGAGACCACAGATCCATCTCGCAGTCAATGATTTCCAAGGTAGTGAATGGGCAGGTGGTGCGCCCCTTCAACTCCAGAAGCAAAGCCTACGAGTGCAAGGTTAAAGAAAGACACGGTTATGCAAATATACTCTGCAGAGCTGTGCTGCCTACAAGTCAGTCATGCTAAGTATCTTGACATTTTTGCCTCTCAGATAACTTTCTAGTTATTCAAAGAGAGACTGGCATGAGAACAAAATAATTTCCTTTTAAAACAAAGACTTATTGAATCATATAAGAAACATCAAGTTTTATAATGAGATAAAATACATTGCAGGATACCATTACAGACTGAATTGTGCCTCCCATACCCCTTCATGTGTTGAAGTCCTAACCCCTATTACCTCAGAATGTGACTGAATTTGGAGACAGGATATTTAAAGAGGTAATTAAGTAAAAATGAAATCATTATGGTAAGCCCTAGCCCAATAGGCCTGGTATTCATATATGAAGAGGAATCGGACACAGATGTTCCAGAGAAAAGACCATGTGAAGGCAGAGGAAGAATATGACCATTGATAAGCCAAGAAGAAGGCCTCAGAAGAAACCTGAGGCCAACGCCTTGCTCTTGGACTTCCAGCCTCCAGAACAGCATGAAAATAAATTTCTGAAGCCACCTGGTCTGTGGTACTTTGCTATGACAGCATGAGTAAACTGGGATATGTTTATGTTCTAATCAACAAATTTGTCCTCTTATAGTTGTGTAGGTGTGTATTTTAGTAGAAAGGTATGATTATGCCAATGTTTTATGGATTTAATAAAAAGATGATACTTGTATTTCATTCGTAATTATAAATATCGTTAGGATTCAGAGGTCTTCTCAGAACCGGACTGTGCAAATTCAGGAGCAAGGTACTTCTCCTATTGGAACATCTGGACTGGTGACAACACGTGAGCATTTGACTCTGTCCCCAGTCCCTCACTCCTGAATGGAGGGGCCTCCAGCAAGGTCACTTCTGATGACAAAGGATACCACAGTTAGCTCTGCCTCATTGAAAGGAGAGGGTATTTACAACTACAAATCCTTGAGACCAGCAGGTGGTAGTGGTTACTTTGTCAGACTCCTCCGTGGCCGACCATGGTTGGAGTTCCAGATCTGGTGGCTTGACAATCACGCCAGGCACATGTTCATGCGTGCTCAAGATCCCAAGAGGAGAACAGAGGAGAAAGGACTGCAGCATGGCCATCCCCTCTTGGGGTGATTTCTCACCTCCCTCTCACTCTCTCCCTCTCTCTCTGGTGAGCGCACCCACCCTATGGGGGTAGGTACAAATCCTGAGGTCATGAAGGCCCTTGGAGCAATCAGAACCTCCACGACCTGAGGAGTCCTTCCGTACAGAATGGAAGCCTAGAAGAGGCTTTGCTGCGGTTCGGAGGACCCCGGGGTTTCTGAGGTAATGACAGGCTGCTCAGAGAGGAAAAAGCACACGCACAGCCTTAACTACAGAGCGGTGCCCAGCTCTGTAATGAGCAGCTGAGTTTGAGTGCCGGGTTGGATTTCTGAAGCGGTTTGTCCAGCAGAGGCATGCGGCCCACCAGGGCCTGTGTGAACACAGGGCTGTGCCAAGCAGCCACTGACCAGGTCCCACAGCTCCAACCAGATGTTTGCGGTCACCCTCTGGGCACCGGGACCATGGCCATTCAAGAGAGAGAGGCTTGTCCGCGGCCTCCAGAAGGCTGCATTTTAAGGAATTGTTGAGGATCCCTTTTCACATGCATGGACAGCATTTCTATTTCCGGCACGGGTGTCCTGACTGACCCTCTGAATAAAAGCAACTAAATAAACTCTTTGCATATTTAAAATATCTTTTGTAAGTTTATTTTATTATTTTATTACATTTTTAGAGGTATATGCCAGAGGGCATGTGCACTCACTGAGGAGAGAAAGAGACAGAGACAGAGAGAAAGAAAGTGAGAAATCACCCCCTGGGGGGATGGCCACTGGCAGAATGGTGACAAATTGTCCTGGTTTCTGTTGATCTGACAATGTTTTTATTTTACATTCATATTTTTGTTGAGACAGAATTCTTAGTTCCCCACACCAAGCATTTTCAAAATATTCTATTGGTGATTGGCTTTCATTGTTTCTGTTGAAGAGGCAGATACCCATTTTTCCTTTTCTCTTTTTTGAAGGTAATTTGTACTTTCATCGATGATTTTTTTTTTTTTTTTGAGAGAGAGGTTTTTGCTATAGGGCACATGTGCTCGCCAAAGAGAGAGACAGAGAGAGAAAAGTTAGAAATCACCCCTTGGGGAATGGCCACACTGCAATCCCCTTTCCTTCATTTTCCTCTCAGGATTTTGAGCACATGTAGAGACACACCTGGAATGATTTTCAAGCTGCCAGATCCAGGATTTGAACTGTGGCTGACCGTGTGGTAG